CACATTATAGTCTTATCCATTAATCATATACTTTATCCAATATGTGTTTGTCATTGTACTAATTATATACAGACAAATAATAGTCCTACTCCTTAAAGTAGTGGTTCTTTACTTTTTAGAAGTCAAGGATCCCTTGAGAATTTGGAAAATTGAGAATTCCCTCCTTAGAAAATGCACATACACATAAAATTTTAGGCAGTATTCTCATTGTCTTTCCATTCTTGAAACCGCAATTAAAAATTTATGTCTTAAATAATTTATGAGATGATCATGCCATATGAGCTAGTTCATTATTAATAGTGATGTGGACATTCCTCTAAAAAATGGGAAATTTTAGAGACCAGAAGTTAAATTTATAGAAGAAAAAAAGATAGTATATTTTCTGTTGATAGGAAGGCATTTTCCAGTAATTTGATTTTTCTGGCACCCTGAATAAGGGAAGTAGGCCTCTTTAATTTTACTTTGTTGCAGAAGATTAAATTTAAGGTTGAGTTCCACTTTGTTTGCAATAGTTTAAAAAGAATAGTTAATGCAGATTTTTTTTTTTAATTTTTTTCCTTTTAAGCTTTGTGTCTTGTACAATGTGAGTTTGCCAAATTTTCTTCATCTGCTACAGATTAGGTATGCCATTGTTGCTGCCATGTGGCGGCGCACCCCGTGCTTCTTAAACGCACTGACTGGAGGTTTATCGCATCACTTGTTCACATGCACGGAGCCTGGTAACAGCCTCATCTGTATCTTGTTAGCTTCATTTTCTTATTTTTTTAAATTTCATTATTTATAACTCAACATAGCATTTAAAAATAAAGGCTAGTTTTAATGAATTAATGCTACTACAAAAAGTCATTGCTAAAATTTTCATACTGAAACAGATTTTAACTTTTGTTAAAATGAGCTATGCTTTAATTAAATTGTATTTACTTTGCAAGCAGGCATGTTTACCTGCAGTTTTAACTATATTTGCCAAATTCTAAATATAGTTCTGAAAATTGAAATTGAAGCTTTTATTTATGTGGCAAAAGTAAGCTTCAGGACTAGGCTGTGTATTTTTATTGGCATGTAACAGTTAATATGAGCTCTACAAGAATTTGTGTTTAAAGGGCTAAAGCAATCAACAGCTGCAATTTAAAAATTATATTAAAACGTTTAGGTTGGCTCAGTTGTGCAACTTGGTAAATATTCTTGTGTCCTGATTTTCTGAAGGCTGGTGGATAGGTATCTCCTAAATCATGCTTAGTTTCTTATGGACAGCTTTGTATAGAGAATTCATCTTACTTTCTTTTAAAATAACATTTTTCCTCCAAAAAGTAATAGTTATTGTAAAGAATTTTTAAAACAACAGAAAAATAAAAGGAAAAAAGTCACTTGTCTATCACCTGTAATAAAACCAGTGGAAGCATTTTGTTTTGCTTTATTTCCATTCATCTTTTTTCCTATGCATTATA